CTGCCTGAGAGAGGCAGGTGGGGTAGTTGAAGGTGAGGCTGCCTGAGACAGGCAGGTGGGGTAGGTGAAGGTGAGGCTGCCTGAGACAGGCAGGTGGGGGTAGGTGAAGGGTGAGGTTGCCATCTGAGACAGGCAGGTGGGGTAGGTGAAGGTGAGGCTGCCTGAGACAGGCAGGTGGGGTAGGTGAAGGTGAGGTTGCCTGAGACAGGCAGGTGGGGTAGGTGAAGGTGAGGTTGCCTGAGACAGGCAGGTGGGGTAGGTGAAGGTGAGGCTGCCTGAGAGAAGCAGGTGGGGTAGGTGAAGGTGAGGCTGCCTGAGAGAGGCAGGAGGGGTAGGTGAAGGTGAGGCTGCCTGAGACAGGCAGGTGGGGTAGGTGAAGGTGAGGTTGCCTGAGACAGGCAGGTGGGGTAGGTGAAGGTGAGGTTGCCTGAGACAGGCAGGTGGGGTAGGTGAGGTGAGTTGCCTGAGACAGGCAGGTGGGGTAGGTGAAGGTGAGGTGCCTGAGACAGCAGGTGGGGTAGGTGAAGGTGAGGTTGCCTGTGACAGGCAGGTGGGGTAGGTGAAGGTGACGTTGCCTGAGACAGGCAGGTGGGGTAGGTGAAGTTGAGGCTGCCTGAGAGAAGCAGGTGGGGTAGGTGAAGGTGAGGCTGCCTGAGAGAGGCAGGTGGGGTAGGTGAAGGTGAGGTTGCCTGAGACAGGCAGGTGGGGTAGGTGAAGGTGAGGCTGCCTGAGACAGGCAGGTGGGGTAGGTGAAGGTGAGGTTGCCTGAGACAGGCAGGTGGGGTAGGTGAAGGTGAGGTTGCCTGAGACAGGCAGGTGGGGTAGGTGAAGGTGAGGTTGCCTGAGACAGGCAGGTGGGGTAGGTGAAGGTGAGGTTGCCTGAGACAGGCAGGTGGGGTAGGTGAAGGTGAGGTTGCCTGAGACAGGCAGGTGGGGTAGGTGAAGGTGAGGTTGCCTGAGACAGGCAGGTGGGGTAGGTGAAGGTGAGGTTGCCTGAGACAGGCAGTGGGGTAGGTGAAGGTGAGGTTGCCTGAGACAGGCAGGTGGGGTAGGTGAAGGTGAGGTTGCCTGAGACAGGCAGGTGGGTAGGTGAAGGTGAGGTTGCCTGAGATAGGCAGATGGGTAGGTGAAGGTGAGGTTGCCTGAGACAGGCAGGTGGGTAAGTGAAGGTGAGGTTGCCTGAGACAGGCAGGTGGCGTAGGTGAAGGTGAGGTTGCCTGAGACAGGCAGTGGGTAGGTGAAGTGAGGTTGCCTGAGACAGGCAGGTGGGCGTAGGTGAAGGTGAGGTTGCCTGAGACAGGCAGGTGGCGTAGGTGAAGGTGAGGTTGCCTGAGACAGGCAGGTGGCGTAGGTGAAGGTGAGGTTGCCTGAGACAGGCAGGTGGGGTAGGTGAAGGTGAGGTTGCCTGAGACAGGCAGGTGGGGTAGGTGAAGGTGAGGTTGCCTGAGACGGCAGGTGGGGTAGGTAAAGGTGAGGTTGCCTGAGACAGGCAGGTGGGGTAGGTGAAGGTGAGGTTGCTGAGAGAGACAGGTGGGGTAGGTGAAGGTGAGGTTACCTGAGACAGGCAGGTGGGGTAGGTGAAGGTGAGTTACCTGAGGGCTGGCAGGTGGGGTAGGTGAAGGTGAGGTTGCCTGAGACAGGCAGGTGGGGTAGGTGAAGGTGAGGTTTAAATGAGAGAGGCAGGTGGGGTAGGTGAAGGTGAGGTTGCCTGAGACAGGCAGGTGGGGTAGGTGAAGGTGACGTTGCCTGAGAGAGGCAGGTGGGGTAGGTGAAGGTGAGGTTGCCTGAGAGAGGCAGGTGGGTAGGGAGGTAGGTAGGTGAAGGTGAGGTTACCTGAGACAGGCAGGTGGGGTAGGTGAAGGTGAGGTTGCCTGAGACAGGCAGGTGGGTAGGTGAAGGTGAGGTTGCCTGAGAGAGGCAGGTGGGGTAGGTGAAGGTGAGAGTTGCCTGAGAGAGGCAGGTGGGGTAGGTGAAGGTGAGGTTGCCTGAGACAGGCAGGTGGGGTAGGTGAAGGTGAGGTTGCCTGAGACAGGCAGGTGGCGTAGGTGAAGGTGAGGTTGCCTGAGACAGGCAGGTGGGGTAGGTGAAGGTGAGTTGCCTGAGACAGGCAGGTGGGGTAGGTGAAGGTGAGGTTGCCTGAGACAGGCAGGTGGGGTAGGTGAAGGTGAGGTTGCCTGAGACAGGCAGGTGGGGTAGGAGAAGGTGAGGTTGCCTGAGACAGGCAGGTGGGGTAGGTGAAGGTGAGGTTGCCTGAGACAGGCAGGTGGGGTAGGTGAAGGTGAGGTTGCCTGAGACAGGCAGGTGGGGTAGGTGAAGGTGAGGTTGCCTGAGACAGGCAGGTGGGGTAGGTGAGGTGAGGTTGCCTGAGACAGGCAGGTGGGGTAGCTGAAGTGAGGTTGCCTGAGACAGGCAGGTGGGTAGGTGAAGGTGAGGTTGCCTGAGACAGGCGGTAGGGTAGGTGAAGGTGAGGTTGCCTGAGACAGGCAGGTGGGGTAGGTGAAGGTGAGGTTGCCTGAGACAGGCAGGTGGGGTAGGTGACAGTGAGGCTTGCCTGAGACAGGCAGGTAGGGTAGGTGAAGGTGAGGTTGCTGAGACAGGCGGTGTAGGGTAGGTAAAGGTGAGGTTGCCTGAGACAGGCAGGTGGGGTAGGTGAAGGTGAGGTTGCCTGAGACAGGCAGGTGGGGTAGGTGAAGGTGACGTTGCCTGAGACAGGCAGGTAGGGTAGGTGAAGGTGAGGTTGCCTGAGACAGGCAGGTAGGGTAGGTGAAGGTGAGGTTGCTTGAGACAGGCAGGTGGGGTAGGTAAGGTGAGGTTGCCTGAGACAGGCAGGTGGGGTAGGTGAAGGTGAGGTTGCTGAGACAGGCAGGTGGGGTAGGTGAAGGTGAGGTTGCCTGAGACAGGCAGGTAGGGTAGGTGAAGGTGAGGTTGCCTGAGACAGGCAGGTGGGGTAGGTGAAGGTGAGGTTGCCTGAACAGGCAGGTGGGGTAGGTGAAGGTGAGGTTGCCTGAGACAGGCAGGTGGGGTAGGTGAAGGTGAGGTTGCCTGAGACAGGCAGGTGGGGTAGGTGAAGGTGAGGTTGCCTGAGACAGGCAGGTGGGGTAGGTGGAAGGTGAGGTTGCCTGAGACAGGCAGGTGGGGTAGGTGAAGGTGAGGTTGCCTGAGACAGGCAGGTGGGGTAGGTGAAGGTGAGGTTGCCTGAGACAGGCAGGTGGGGTAGGTGAAGGTGAGGTTGCCTGAGACAGGCAGGTGGGGTAGGTGGAGGTGAGGTTGCCTGAGACAGCAGGTGGGGTAGGTGAAGGTGAGGTTGCCTGAGACAGGCAGGTGGGGTAGGTGAAGGTGAGGTTGCCTGTGACAGGCAGGTGGGGTAGGTGAAGGTGACGTTGCCTGAGACAGGCAGGTGGGGTAGGTTGAAGGTTGAGGCTGCCTGAGAGAGCAGGTGGGGTAGGTGAAGGTGAGGCTGCCTGAGAGAGGCAGGTGGGTAGGTGAAGGTGAGGTTGCCTGAGACAGGCAGGTGGGGTAGGTGAAGGTGAGGCTGCCTGAGAGAGGCAGGTGGGGTATTGAAGGTGAGGTTGCCTGAGACAGGCAGGTGGGGTAGGTGAAGGTGAGGCTTGCCTGAGACAGGCAGGTGGGGTAGGTGAAGGTGAGGTGCCTGAGACAGGCAGGTGGGGTAGGTGAAGGTGAGGCTGCCTGAGACAGGCAGGTGGGGTAGGTGAAGGTGAGGTTGCCTGAGACAGGCAGGTGGGGTAGGTGAAGGTGAGGTTGCCTGAGACAGGCAGGTGGGGTAGGTGAAGGTGAGGCTGCCTGAGAGAAGCAGGTGGGGTAGGTGAAGGTGAGGCTGCCTGAGAGCAGGCAGGAGGGGTAGGTGAAGGTGAGGTGCCTGAGACAGGCAGGTGGGGTAGGTGAAGGTGAGGTTGCCTGGACAGGCAGGTGGGGTAGGTGAAGGTGAGTTGCCTGAGACAGGCAGGTGGGGTAGGTGGAGTGAGGTTGCCTGAGACAGGCAGGTGGGGTAGGTGAAGGTGAGGTTGCCTGAGACAGGCAGGTGGGGTAGGTGAAGGTGAGGTTGCCTGTGACAGGCAGGTGGGGTAGGTGAAGGTGACGTTGCCTGAGACAGGCAGGTGGGGTAGTGAAGTGAGGCTGCCTGAGAAGCAGGTGGGGTAGGTGAAGGTGAGGCTGCCTGAGAGAGGCAGGTGGGGTAGGTGAAGGTGAGGTTGCCTGAGACAGGCAGGTGGGGTAGGTGAAGGTGAGGCTGCCTGAGAGAGGCAGGTGGGGTAGTTGAAGGTGAGGCTGCCTGAGACAGGCAGGTGGGGTAGGTGAAGGTGAGGCTGCCTGAGACAGGCAGGTGGGGTAGGTGAAGGTGAGGTTGCCTGAGACAGGCAGGTGGGGTAGGTGAAGGTGAGGCTGCCTGAGACAGGCAGGTGGGGTAGGTGAAGGTGAGGTTGCCTGAGACAGGCAGGTGGGGTAGGTGAAGGTGAGGTTGCCTGAGACAGGCAGGTGGGGTAGGTGAAGGTGAGGCTGCCTGAGAGAAGCAGGTGGGGTAGGTGAAGGTGAGGCTGCCTGAGAGAGGCAGGAGGGGTAGGTGAAGGTGAGGCTGCCTGAGACAGGCAGGTGGGGTAGGTGAAGGTAAGGCTGCCTGAGAGAAGCAGGTGGGGTAGGTGAAGGTGAGGTTGCCTGAGGCAGGCAGGTGGGGTAGGTGAAGGTGAGGTTGCCTGAGACAGGCAGGCGGGGTAGGTGAAGGTGAGGCTGCCTGAGACAGGCAGGTGGGTAGGTGAAGGTGAGGTTGCCTGAGACAGGCAGGTGGGGTAGGTGAAGGTGAGGCTGCCTGAGACAGGCAGGTGTGTAGGTGAAGGGAGGTTGCCTAGACAGGCAGGCGGGTAGGTGAAGGTGAGGCTGCCTGAGACAGGCAGGTGGGCTAGGATGAAGGTGAGGCTTTCCGAGACACAGTGGGGTAGTGAAGGTGGTGATGCTGAGGAAAGGTAGGTGCATAACCTGCAGACACAGGTTCAGGCAGGTGTAAGTATAGTGAGTCCAAGTGTGTCACCTTCCTCCAGTAGTAAGTTCTGGAACCTGCAGCCAACACTGCAGGAAGCACAGCAGTTCACCACACGTGGGTGAGAACATTGCACTGCTGGGCACTGCAAAGACAGTGAGTCTTACCATTACTACACATCTTGTCACTGCTGGGTACTGCAGTGACAGTGTTACCATTACTACAGAACTTCTCACTGCTGGGCGCTGCCGTGACAGTGTTACCATTACTACACAACTTCTCACTGCTGGGCACTGCAGTGACAGTGTTACCATTACTACACAACTTCTCACTGCTGGGCACTGCAGTGACAGTGTTACCATTACTACACAACTTCTCACTGCTGGGCACTGCAGTGACAGTGTTACCATTACTACACAACTCTCACTGCTGGCACTGCAGTGACAGTGTTACCATTACTACACAACTTCTCACTGCTGGGCACTGCAGTGACAGTGTTACCATTACTACACAACTTCTCACTGTTGGGCACTGCAGTGACAGTGTTACCATTACTACACAACTTCTCACTGCTGGGCACTGCAGTGACAGTGTTACCATTACTACACACAACACTCTTTGGTGAATACTGAAGATAACTGGAGTGGGTGACAGGTGAATCAGCTGGAGTGGGTGACAGGTGACTCACCTTGAGTGGGTGACAGGTGACTCACCTGGTGTGGGTGACAGGTGACTCACCTTGAGTGGGTGACAGGTGACTCACCTGGTGTGGGTGACAGTAAGATTCACCTGGAGTGCGTGACAGATGACTCACTTGGAGTGGGTGACAGATGACTCACCTGGAGTGGGTGACAGGTGACTCACCTGGTGTGGGTGACAGTAAGAATCACCTGGAGTGGGTTACAGGTGATTCACCTGGAGTGGGTGACAGGTGACTCACCTGGAGTGGGTGACAGGTGACTGAGCCAGCCTGGCACTGGCACTCCTGGCATGGGTGTCGTGGGTGGGAGAAGACCTGCCCTGACTCGATCTCTCGTTCCTCAAAGTAGCAGTCTTCAGGAGAAGGGAATATATGGGTGAGTGAAGGGAATGTATGGGCGATTGAAGAGAACATGTGGGTGAGTGAAGGGAACATATGGGTGATTGAAGGGAACATATGGGGGAGTGAAGGGAACATATGGGGAGGGAAGGGAACATATGGGTGAATGAAGAGAGCATATGGGTGAGGGAAAGGAACATGTGGGTGAGTGAAGGTAACATATGGGTGAGTGAAGATAACATGTGGGTGAGGGAAGGGAACATATGGGGGAGGGAAGGGAACATATGGGTGAGTGTAGGGAACACATGGGTGACTCATGAACATCACCCACATGTTACAGGTGACTCAGTTATTACCCATCATCACCTTGGCATCGTGGGCAGCAGTCAGCAATGGTAGGGTGGGTACAGGTGACATGTGGGCAGGTCCTGGGCATGCAGGTGACGTGCCCACCATGGCACTGGCACTCTTGACAGGTGGCCATGCTGCTGGGGAAGGTGCCGCCATCTGGGATGATGACACCGTCGTACTGGCACCCAGTGCCACACTCTGGGCAGCAGTTCCCTGGCACGGGGTACGGGCAGGCTGGACGACCACAGGGTATCACGGTGCACTGTATCTCGCCCATCTGCAGCATAACACACGATCAAGGACGGTACAGTGTGGTACAATGTGGTACAGTACGGTACAGTGTGGTATAATGTGGTACAGTACGGTACAGTGTGGTACAATGTGGTACAGTACGGTACAGTGTGGTATAATGTGGTACAGTACGGTACAGTGTGGTACAATGTGATACAGTACGGTACAGTGTGGTACAATGTGGTACAGTACGGTACAGTGTGGTACAAGGTGGTACAGTACGGTACAGTGTGGTACAATGTGGTACAGTACGGTACAGTGTGGTACAATGTGGTACAGTACGGTACAGTGTGGTAGAATGTGGTACAGTACGGTACAGTGTGGTACAATGTGGTACAGTACGGTACAGTGTGGTACAATGTGGTACAGTACGGTACAGTGTGGTATAATGTGGTACAGTACGGTACAGTGTGGTACAATGTGATACAGTACGGTACAGTGTGGTACAGTGTGGTACAATGTGGTACAGTACGGTACAGTGTGGTACAAGGTGGTACAGTACGGTACAGTGTGGTACAATGTGGTACAGTACGGTACAGTGTGGTACAATGTGGTACAGTACGGTACAGTGTGGTAGAATGTGGTACAGTACGGTACAGTGTGGTACAATGTGGTACAGTACGGTACAGTGTGGTACAATGTGGTACAGTACGGTACAGTGTGGTACAATGTGGTACAGTACGGTACAGTGTGGTACAATGTGGTACAGTACGGTACAGTGTGGTACAATGTGGTACAGTACGGTACAGTGTGGTACAATGTGGTACAGTATTTCACATATGTCTTGTTCATCATGTTAATGCTGATTTTATGACATTGACGTGAACAGTGATATGAACAGTGAACAACATACTCTACATGAACACTGAACAATATGAACTACATGAACACTGAACAATATGAACTACATGAACACTGAACAACATACACTACATGAACACTGGACAACATACCATACATGAACAATGAACAACAGTGCCTACATGGACAATGAACTACATACATTACATGAACATGGAACAACATACCCTGCATGAACATGGAACAATATACCCTACATGAACAATGAACAATATACCCTACATGAACACTGAACAACATACCCTACATGAACAAAGAACAACATACCCTACATGTACATGAACAATGAACAACATACCCTACATGAACACTGTGAGCAAGGGTCGCTGGGTTCCGGGAAGTGCTGACCATTGTAGTAAGTGTTGCCCTCAAAGTGACAGTCCTTACAGAGGGCACAGCAGCCAGTCTGGTCGAGGGCTGGGTAGGTGCAGTGGGCTGGTGCACACACCCGGGGGTAGCAGGTCACATCAGGGTAGTCACAGCGACACTGAGTGCACTCGTCAAAGTGGGACTCAAACACCTCACCGTCAAGGTACATCTCTCCCTCATGTTCACATTCTGTAATATAAACATGGACTTCAAGCTACAACAGTCTCCTCCTGTATGTTCTCACCTCTCAAACTACTTTTATATCAGTGCACCAGGCAGCAACAAGGCTCACTGACGTGCCCAGGCTGGGAAAGAAGCATGGCTTGTGAACCTGGCTGCCAAACTTATGTGGCATTTGTAACTGAGTGGATAAAAGTGTTGCCTGGGAATCTTGTCCTCCCCCAGTAGCAGTATCGAGTCCTGCTGACTGTGATCTTTCTCTGCATATACCCGGTTGTTTCTGCGTGGTGTATTGATATATATATATTATTGTACCCACGAAACGAATGGTATTGATCAATAACAACACTGCACTAGCCAAGGAGTCGAACCCATGCTGTTTTGGTCCGCCTCGTGGTGAGAGAAAACGCATGACGCTTTAGACCACTAGACCAAACAGTCTTTTACAATGACGCATCCAGCCATGCTAGATGTTGTACCCGACATCGAAGGACATACGGTGGTGTGGACGCATGCTAAACTGGTTGTTAACTAGTACACAAACAGGGAGTAGAATGAAATCATCTCAGAGGCGTCCACACCACCATATGCCCATCGATTGCGGGTACAACATCTAGCTTGGCTGGATGCGCCATTGTTAAGGATTGTGTAGTCTAGTGGTCTAAAGCGTCATGCGTTTTCTCTCACCACGAGGAGGGCCAAAACAGCATGGGTTCGACTCCTCGGCTAGTGCAGTGTTGTTATTGATATATATATATATATATTTATATATATATATATATATATATATATATATATATATATATATATATATATATATATATATATGCAAAACAACCACTCTGAAAGAATAGAGAAATTCCAAGCGCTTTCGTGACTACTCACATTATCAAGGAGAGTGGTTGTTTTGCATATTTTGAAATCACCTGTTTACTGTGATCTTATTGCATATATATATTTATATATATATATATATATATATATATATATATATATATATATATATATATATATATATACATATATGTGTGTGTGTGTATCAATGAAAGCTACATCAGTGTGTTACATACTACTGATATTATAATTATTATTAATATTTCATTATGTCTTTAATATTATAAGTAGTAAGAAGTGATGAGAGTGACCTGTACAGAGAGGGCAGCAGGTCCCAGGTGGTGTTAGGGGCCTGGAGCATGGTACTGGAGGGCAGGGTACGGGCACGCACCCTACACGACCCTGCAGGCAGGTGCACGACCTGCACTGGTCCAGGGGATCCGGGAACACTGCTCCGTCAACAATGCTCTTACCTCCGTAGGTACACCCTGGGGGCAGCACTTGTTACTAACGTAACTGATACTAACTTTACATATGAAGCGAGATATATTAAATATTCAAATTTTCTCAGTAATATAGCAAAAAAAACAAACAACTTTAAAATGGATTTATATATATATATATATATATATATATATATATATATATATATATATATATATATATAATATATATATATATACATATATTTACCGTCACATTGGAGGCAGCAGTCTACTAGACGGGGCGAGGGACAGGCATACGGTAAACAGGGCTTTTCACGACACCTCACAACGCCCTCTGTACACCTGAAACACAGAGTGTACACCTGAAACACACAGTGTACATCTGAAACACACACAGTGAACACCTGAAACACACAGTGTACACCTGAAACACACAGTGTACACCTGAAACACACAGTGTACATCTGAAACACACACAGTGTACACCTGAAACACACAGTGTACACCTGAAACACACAGTGTACATCTGAAACACACACAGTGTACACCTGAAACACACAGTGTACACCTGAAACACACAGTGTACACCTGAAACACACAGTGTACATCTGAAACACACACAGTGTACACCTGAAACACACAGTGTACACCTGAAACACACAGTGTACATCTGAAACACACACAGTGTACACCTGAAACACACAGTGTACATCTGAAACACACAGTGCACACCTGAAACACACAGTGTACACCTGAAACACACAGTGTACACCTGAAACACACAGTGTACACCTGAAACACACAGTGTACATCTGAAACACACACAGTGTACACCTGAAACACACAGTGTACATCTGAAACACACAGTGCACACCTGAAACACACAGTGTACACCTGAAACACACAGTGTACACCTGAAACACACAGTGTACACCTGAAACGCACAGTGTACATCTGAAATACACACAGTGTACATCTGAAACACACAGTGTACACCTGAAACACATAGTGTACACCTGAAATACACACTGTACATCTGAAACACACACAGTGTACACCTGAATCCCATAGTGTATACCAGAAACACACATTGTGCATCTGAAACACGCATTGTATACCTGAAACACACAGTGTACACCTAAAATACAGTGTACACCTGAAACACACAGTGTATACCTGAAACACACAGAGTGTACACCTGAAACACACAGTGTACACATGAAACACACAGCGTACACCAGAAATACATAGTGAACATCTGCAACACACACAGTGTACACCTGAAACACACAGTGTACACCTGAAACACACAGTGTACACTTGAAACACACAGTGTATATCTGAAACACACAGTGTACAACTGAAACACACAGTGTACATCTGGAACGCAAAGTGTACACCTGAAACACACAGTGTACATCTGAAACACACATTGTACACCTGAAACACACAGTGTACACCTGAAACACACAGTGTATATCTGAAACACACAGTGTACAACTGAAACACACAGTGTACATCTGGAACGCAAAGTGTACACCTGAAACACACAGTGTACACCTGAAACACACAGTGTACACCTGAAACACACAGTGTACACCTGAAACACACACAGTGTACACCCGAAACCCACAGTGTACACCTGAAACACACACAGTGTACACCTGAAACACACACAGTGTACACCTGAAACACAGAGTGTACACCTGAAACACACAAAGTGTACACCTCAAACACACAGTGTACACCTGAAACACACAGTGTACATCTGAAACACACACAGTGTACACCTGAAACACACAGTGTATACGTGAAACACACAGTGTACACGTGAAACACACAGTGTACACCTGAAACACACACAGTGTACACCTGAAACACACAGTGTATATCTGAAACACACACAGTGTAAACCTGAAACACACAGTGTACACCTGAAACACACAGTGTACACCTGAAATACACAGTGTACATCTGCAACACACACAGTGTACACCTGAAACACACAGTGTACACCTGAAACACACAATGTACACCTGAAACACACAGTGTACACTTGAAACACACACTGTACATCTGAAACTCACACAGTGTGCACCTGAATCCCACAGTGTACACCAGAAATATACATTGTACATCTGAAACACACATTGTACACCTGAAACACACAGTGTACACCTGAAACACACAGTGTATATCTGAAACACACAGTGTACAACTGAAACACACAGTGTACATCTGGAACACAAAGTGTACACCTGAAACACACAGTGTACACCTGAAACACACAGTGTACACTTGAAACACACAGTGTACATCTGAAACACACACAGTGTACACCTGAAACCCACAGTGCACACCTGAATCACACACAGTGTACACCTGAAACACAGAGTGTACACCTGAAACACACAGAGTGTACACCTCAAACACACAGTGTAAACCTGAAACACACAGTGAACATCTGAAACACACACAGTGTACACCTGAAAGACAGTGTATACGTGAAACACACAGTGTACACTTGAAACACACAGTGTGCACCTGAAACACACACAGTGTACACCTGAAACACACAGTGTACACACGAAACACACAGTGTACACCTGAAACACACAGTGTACATCTGAAACACACACATTGTACACCTGAAACCCACAGTGTACACCTGAAACACACAATGTACATCTGAAACACAGAGTGTACACCTGAAACACACAGTGTACACCTGAAACACACAGTGTATTTCGGAAACACTCAGCGCACAACTGAAACACACAGTGTGCACCTGAAACACAAAGTGCACATCTGAAACACACAGTGTACACCTAAAACCCACAGTGTACACCTGAAACACACAGTGTACATCTGAAACACACAGTGTACACCTGAAACACACAGTGTACACCTGAAACACACAGTGTATATCGGAAACACACAGTGTACAACTGAAACACACAGAGTACATCTGAAACACAAAGTGTACACCTGAAACACACAGTGTTCATCTGAAACATACAGTGTACATGTGAAACACACAGTGTACACCTGAAACATACACTGTACATCTGAAACACACAGTGTACCTCTGAAACACACAGTGTACACCTGAAACACACAGTGTACACCTGAAACACACATTGTACACCTGAAACACACAGTGTACACCTGAAACACACAGTGTACATCTGAAACACACAGTGTACACCTGAAGCACACAGTGTAGATCTGAAACACACAGTGTACAACTGAAAAACACAGTGTATATCTGAAACACACAGTGTACACCTGAAACACACAGTGTGTATATGAAACACACAGTGTGTATATGAAACACACAGTGTACACCTAAAACACACAGTGTACGCTTGAAACACACAGTGTACACTTGAAACACACAGTGTACACTTGAAACACACAGTGTACACTTGAAACACACAGTGTAAACTTGAAAAACACAGTGTACACTTGAAAAACACAGTGTACACTTGAAACACACAGTGTACACTTTAAACACACAGTGTACACTTGAAACACACAGTGTACACTTGAAAAACACAGTGTACACTTGAAACACACAGTGTACACTTGAAACACACAGTGTACAATTGAAAAACACAGTGTACACTTGAAACACACAGTGTACACTTGAAACACACAGTGAACACTTGAAACACGCAGTGTACACTTGAAACACACAGTGTACACTTGAAACACACAGGGTACAACTGAAACACACAGTGTACATCTGAAACACACAGTGTACACCTAAAACACACAGTGTAGGATTGAAACACACAGTGTACACTTGAAACACACAGTGTACACTTGAAACACAGAGTGTACACTTGGAAAACACAGTGTACACTTAAAAAACACAGTGTACAATTGAAACACACAGTGTACAATTGAAACACACAGTGTACACTTGAAACACATAGTGTACACCTGAAACACACAGTGTACACTTGAAACACACAGAGTACACCTGAAACACACAGTGAACACTTGAAACACACAGTGTACACTTGAAACACACAGTGTACACTTGAAACACACAGTGTACACTTGAAAAACACAGTGTACACTTGAAACACACAGTGTACACTTGAAACACACAGTGTACAATTGAAAAACACAGTGTACACTTGAAACACACAGTGTACACTTGAAACACACAGCGAACACTTGAAACACGCAGTGGACACTTGAAACACACAGTGTACACTTGAAACACACAGTGTACACCTGAAACACACAGTGTACATCTGAAACACACAGTGTACACCTAAAACACACAGTGTAGGATTGAAACACACAGTGTACACTTGTAACACACAGTGTACACTTGAAACACACAGTGTACACTTGAAACACACAGTGTACACTTGGAAAACACAGTGTACACTTAAAAAACACAGTGTACAATTGAAACACACAGTGTACAATTGAAACACACAGTGTACACTTGAAACAGTGTACACTTGAAACACACAGTGTACACTTGAAACACACAGTGTACACTTGAAACACATAGTGTACACCTGAAACACACAGTGTACACTTGAAACACACAGAGTACACCTGAAACACACAGTGTACACTTGAAACACACAGTTTACACCTGAAACACACAGTGTACACTTGAAACACACAGTGTACACTTGAAACACATAGTGTACACCTGAAACACACAGTGTACACTTGAAGCACACAGAGTACACCTGAAACACACAGTGTACACTTGAAACACACAGTTTGCACCTGAAACACACAGTGTACACTTGAAACACATAGTGTACACCTGAAACACACAGTGTACACTTGAAACACACAGAGTACACCTGAAACACAAAGTGTACACTTGAAACACACAGTTTACACCTGAAACACACAGTGTGCACTTGAAACACACAGTGTACACTTGAAACACACAGTGTACACCTGAAACACACAGTGTACACTTGAAACACACAGTGAACACTTAAAACCCATAGTGTGCAATTGAAACACACAGTGTACACTTAAAACACACAGTGTACTTGAAAAACACAGTGTACACTTGAAACACAGAGTGTACACTTGAAACACACAGTGTACACTTGAAAAACACAGTGTACACTTGAAAACCACAGTGTACACTTGAAACACACAGTGTACACTTGAAACACACAGTGTACACTTGAACCACAAAGTGAACACTTGAAACACACAGTGTACACTTGAAACACACAGTGTACACTTGAAACACACAGTGTACACCTGAAACACACAGTGTACACTTGAAACACACAGTGTACACCTGAAACACACAGTGTACACTTGAAAAACACAGTGTACACTTGAAACACACAGTGTACACTTGAAACACACAGTGAACACTTGAAACACACAGTGTACACTTGAAACACACAGTGTACACTGGAAAAACACAGTGTACAATTGAAACACACAGTGTATACTTGAAACATACAGTGTACACTTTTAACACAGTGTACATTTGAAACACACGATGTACACTTGAAACACACAGTGTACAATTGAAACACCAAGTGTACACTTGAAAAACACAGTGTACACTTGAAAAACACAGTGTACACTTGAAAAACACAGTGTACACTTGAAAAACACAGTGTATACTTGAAACACACAGTGTACACTTGAAACACACAGTGTACACTTGAAACACTCAGTGTACAATTGAAACATACAGTGTACACTTGAAACACACAGTGTACTCTTGAAGCACACAGTGTACACTTGAAACACACGGTGTACACTTGAAACACACAGTGTACAATTGAAACACCAATTGTACACTTGAAAAACACAGTGTTCACTTGAAAAACACAGTGTACACTTGAAAAACACAGTGTACACTTGAAAAACACAGTGTATACTTGAAACACATAGTGTACACTTGAAACACACAGTGTACACTTGAAACACACAGTGTACACCTGAAACACACAGTGTACACTTGAAACACACAGTGTACACCTGAAACACACAGTGTACACTTGAAACACACAGTGTACACCTGAAACACACAGTGTTCACTTGAAACACACAGTGTACACCTGAAACACACAGTGTTCACTTGAAACACACAGTGTACACCTAAAACACACAGTGTACACCTGAAACACACAGTGTACACCTGAAACACACAGTATACACTTGAAACACACAGTGTACACTTGAAACACACCGTGTGCACCTGAAACACACAGTGTACATCTGAAACACACAGTGTACACTTGAAACACAGTTTACACCTGAAACACAGTGTACTCCTGAAACACACTGTGTACACTTGAAACACACAGTGTACACCTGAAACACACAGTGTCCACCTGAAACACACAGTGTACACTTGAAAAACACAGTGTACACCTGAAAAACAAAGTGTACACTTGAAACACACAGTGTACACTTAAAACCCACAGTGTACACTTGAAACACACAGTGTACACTTAAAACACACAGTGTACACTTGAAACACACACAGTGTACACTTGAAACACAGTGTACACTTGATACACACAGTGTACACTTGAAACACACAGTGTACACTTAAAACACACAGTGTACACTTGAAACACACACAGTGTACACTTGAAACACAGTGTACACTTGAAACACACAGTGTACACTTGAAACACACAGTGAACACTTGAAACACACAGTGTACACTTGAAACACACAGTGTACACTTGAAACACACAGTGTACACTTGAAACACACAGTGTACGCTTAAAACACAGTGTACACTTGAAACACACAGTGTACACTTGAAACACTCAGTGTACACTTGAAACACACAGTGTACACTTGAAACTCACAGTGCACACTTGAAAAACGCAGTGTACACTTAAAACACACAGTGTACACTTGAAACACACAGTGTACACTTGAAACACACAGTGTACACTTGAAACACACAGTGTACACTTGAAACACACAGTGTACTCTTGAAACACACAGTGTACACTTGAAACACACAGTGTACACTTGAAACACACAGTGTACACTTGAAACACACAGTGTACACTTGAAACACACAGTGTACACTTGAAACACACAGTGTACACTTGAAACACACAGTGTACACTTGAAACACACAGTGATGTACATCATGAAGGCACAAAAAGTACTACAGGATATACAACAGAAAGAACAGTCCAGGACAAACTGTACAACACCTGCACTGCTGACAGTGATGTGCAACACCTGCACTGCTGACAGTGATGTGCAACACCTGCACTGCTGACAGTGATGTACAACACCTGCACTGCTGACAGTGATGTGCAACACCTGCACTGCTGACAGTGGTGTGCAACACCTGCACTGCTAACAGTTGTGTTCAACACCTGCACTGCTGACATTGGTTTACAACACCTGTACTGCTGACAGTGGTGTACAACACCTGTACTGCTGACAGTGATGTGCAACACCTGCACTGCTGACAGTGGTGTGCAACACCTGTACTGCTGACAGTGGTGTACAACACCTGTACTGCTGACAGTGGTGTACAACAACTGTACTGCTGACAGTGATGTGCAACACCTGCACTGCTGACAGTGGTGTGCAACACCTGTACTGCTGACAGTGATGTGCAACACCTGTACTGCTGACAGTGATGTGCAACACCTGCACTGCTGACAGTGGTGTGCAACACCTGCACTGCTGACAGTGATGTACAACACCTGCACTGCTGACAGTGGTGTACAACACCTGTACTGCTGACAGTGATGTGCAACACCTGTACTGCTGACAGTGATGTGCAACACCTGCACTGCTGACAGTGGTGTGCAACACCTGTACTGCTGACAGTGATGTACAACACCTGCACTGCTGACAGTGGTGTGCAACACCTGCACTGCTGACAGTGATGTGCAACACCTGCACTGCTGACAGTGATGTGCAACACCTGTACTGCTGACAGTGATGTACAACACCTGCACTGCTGACAGTGGTGTGCAACACCTGCACTGCTAACAGTTGTGTTCAACACCTGCACTGCTGACATTGGTGTACAACACCTGTACTGCTGACAGTGGTGTACAACACCTGCACTGCTAACAGTTGTGTTCAACACCTGCACTGCTGACATTGGTGTACAACACCTGTAATGCTGACAGTGGTGTACAACACCTGCACTGCTGACAGTGGTGTACAACAGCTGTACTGCTGACAGTGATGTGCAACACCTGCACTGCTGACAGTGGTGTGCAACACCTGTACTGCTGACAGTGATGTACAACACCTGCACTGCTGACAGTGGTGTGCAACACCTGCACTGCTGACAGTGGTGTGCAACACCTGTACTGCTGACAGTGATGTACAACACCTGTACTGCTGACAGTGATGTGCAACACCTGCACTGCTGACAGTGGTGTGCAACACCTGTACTGCTGACAGTGATGTACAACACCTGCACTGCTGACAGTGGTGTACAACACCTGTACTGCTGACATTGGTGTATAACACCTGCACTGCTGACAGTGATGTGCAACACCTGCACTGCTGACAGTGATGTACAACACCTGCACTGCTGACAGTGGTGTGCAACACCTGCACTGCTAACAGTTGTGTTCAACACCTGCACTGCTGACAGTGGTGTGCAACACCTGCACTGCTGACAGTGGTGTGCAACACCTGTACTGCTGACAGTGGTGTACAACACCTGCACTGCTGACAGTGGTGTACAACACCTGCACTGCTGACAGTGGTGTACAACACCTGTACTGCTGACAGTGGTGTACAACACCTGCACTGCTGACAGTGGTGTACAACACCTGCACTGCTGACATTGGTGTACAACACCTGTACTGCTGACAGTGGTGTACAACATCTGCCTGCTGACATTGGTGTGCAATACTTGCACTGCTGACAGTGGTGTACAACACCTGCAGTGCTGACAGTTGTGTACAACATCTGCACTGCTGACAGTGGTGTACAACACCTGTACTGCTGACAGTGGTGTATAACACCTGCACTGCTGACATTGGTGTACAACACCTGCACTGCTGACAGTGTTGTACAACACCTGCACTGCTGAAAGTGGTGTACAACACCTGCACTGCTGACAGTGGTGTACAACACCTGCACTGCTGACAGTGGTGTACAACACCTGCACTGCTGACAGTGGTGTACAACATCTGCACTGCTGACAGTGGTGTACAACACCTGCACTGCTGACAGTGGTGTACAACATCTGCACTGCTGACAGTGGTGTACAACACCTGCACTGCTGACATTGGTGTCACCCACCTGCACTCCTGACAATGGTGTCACCCACGTGCACTGCTGATAGTAGTGTCACCCACCTTCACTGCTGACAGTGGTGTCACCCATCTGCACTGCTGACAGTGGTGTCACCCACCTGCACTGCTGACAATTGTGTCACCCACCTGCACTCCTGACAGTGGTCGTGGGGGTGCAGGAAGACCTCGTGGTTATCATAGTGGTTATCATGGAAGTTACACTGGTGGGTAGTGAGACAGAAGGGGCAGCACACCCCCTTCAGGACCTGGGGTTGGGCACACTGTGGGGAGGGGCAGCGCACAGTGTCACACCGCACAGTGCCAGCCTGGGGGAGATAGCAAACCAGTGTTAAAATCACTTACTCTTTCTCCTCTGTCTTCCTTTCTACTCACAATCTTCCTGTCTACCCAAGCTTTCTTCTCTACCTGTCTATCCACATTTTTTACCTCTCTTCTCACGTCTACCCACAAACAGGTAGCTGTTTAAATCTCTAGGGAATCAGGTAGGTACTTCAATTTGTTGACAATGTTGACAATTGGAACCCCAGAAAGATGTCTGACAGCAGTCAAGTGTTTCTTTGTGGCACCAGTATCTATGTCTGAAACTTAATTTAGTTATACTCGGAGGTATAGATAGTCATACATGCGATGAGAAGTGTAAGTTTTTCCGAGTATATTATACTCTGAGGTGTATATTCCAGATATTAATATATTCATGACTGATGGTGAAGAGGTCACTCGCGTGTAAAAGTGTTGAAACCTCACCCACCACTTGGCAGTGGCACAGCTGTTACCTCTCACCTGGCACTGGCACTCCTGGCAAGGGTCGTGCTCGTGGATGAAGCTGTCACCGTCAGGGAAGACCCTGAGGGTGAAGAGGCAGTCATGGCAGACTGGGCAGCAGCCGTCTGAGGGCATCGCTGGGTGGGTACAGGGCACTGTGGGGCAGGGCACCGACCCACACGTCAATCCAGTGCCCTGAGATAAGGTAGGAAGGAAGAGATGTGGGTCACACCTATATAAATATATATATATATATATATATATATATATATATATATATATATATATATATATATATATATATATATATACATATATATATATATATATATATATATATATATATATATATATATATATATATATATATATATATATATATATATATATATATATATATATAAATTATAAATTGAAGCAAAGATTGTTTAAGAGTGAAAATACATATTTGTGTTTCTAATGAATCACTGTTGCTATTTGAGGTTAAACAAAGTCAGTGTTACAAGCAACATGTGTCTCTGTTTACCACGTCTGAGACAAGCAAACAATAACGAGCAGTAAGGTCAAGTTAATGAGTAAGACACGTGTGCAACACTCGGGTATCTTAATTACCGATATGAAGACATTATTGGACACGTCTTAAACCTCAACCCAGAGAGACAGAAATGAGAGATTAAGTTGGTAAGGTCCGCCTTACCGTACAGGAGCACTGGACACAAGGGTGAGCTGGATGCTGGAAGGTCACTCCCAGCTGGTACACAGTCCCCTCCACTAGACACGACGAAAAACGGCAAAAAGGACACGAAGATGAGGAAGGAAGATCCGGAGGAGGAGGAGGAGGAGGAGAGGCAGGTGGGGAGAAGGGAGGATATGTGGGTGAGAGAGATGAGGAAAACGAAGGGGGTGAAGCAATAGGGAAGAGCACAGTGGGTAAATGTGGTAACGAAGAGGGGGTTGGCGATAGAGATAGTGTAGAAATAGGTAATGTAGGAGTGGGTGTAGGGGGCGATGTAGTGGCTGCCGGAGAGGTGCTGGAGGCTGCAGAACGTGAAAGTAATTCTGAATAGAGGTGAAAATGTGGTGTATGTGGAAGAATAGATGGTGCTGATAGATAGGAGGATGCTGAGTGGTAGCTTGAACGGTAGGCAGCAGCAACAGCAGTGTGAGGAGAGGCAGTAGTAGCAGCAGTGTGAGGAGAGGCAGTAGTAGCAGCAGTGTGAGGGCACGTAGGGCAGCAGGTACCTTCCTCCAGCAGTGGTTTCTCACACACCACCTCAGCACACACTGCCTCCTGGCAGTGTACATGCCCATTCTGCCAAGTAAACCAAACAGAAGTGTGAATTAAAGGAGGATAATTAGAATGACACAGTGAGTTCTCTGTTAGACTAACATATTGTGTTAGTCTGTTAAAGTATGTTACTGTTAAACTAACTACTGAAGCTTCTAAGTGTTTCAAAGTTACTTCTAAGTGTTTCAAAATTACTTCTAAGATTAATAAACACTTTACCAAGCAATGGCACTCCAGACAATGGTTCTGGTGAGAGAGAGTGAAGTTGTGGTTGTTATGGTAGTGGATATTGTGGTAGAGGCAGCCGTCACAGAGTGGGCAGCAGTGGCCAGCTGGTGTAGCCGGATGTGGGCACTGTGGGTTGCAGTAGCCGGCCTGGGAGACGCAGGTGACGGAACCGGACTCACACCGGCACTTAACACAAGGATCTTCCTCCAGCCACCACTCAGAGCCGGATCTGATGGATGTACATCACTCAGACGCAGCCCTGATGCACAGATATGGCTGATATACAACACTCAGAACCACACACACCTCACCAACCATATATATATATATATATATATATATATATATATATATATATATATATATATATATATATATATATATATATATATATATTTATATATATATGGTATCCATCTTACAAGACAGCTGTTGACTAAGCGATGGTGAATATTCTGCTTCTTTCTTTTGACTCACCTGGGTTGAAAACAGCTGATGTTAAGGAGGGTGAGTCTGAATGTTGAGTTACGTATCTTCAGCCCACACGGGTTTAACGCTGAACATTAATATATCAATACTGTCAGTGCTACTATTTACATTACTACCACTACTACTACCATTAACTACTACTAACTGCTAGTACCACTGTTACTGTGAGTCACTGCAGCAGTCTAGGAGTCGTTCTGTTGATGGTACTTACTGGTAGGTGGTTCCCAGGTGGTGACAGTGGGTGCAGGTGGGACAACAGTGGTCGGGCAGCAGGTGGGCATCCACACAGTGTATCTCAGGGCATCGCACGGTGTCACACACAACACTACCTGTAACAACACCCACACAGTGTTATCTGAGGGCACCAAACGGTGCCACACAGTAATATTTGAGGGCATCGCACGGTGTCACACACAACAATACCTGTTACAACACCCACACAGCGTTATCTGAGGGCACCACACGGTGCCACACAGTAATATTTGAGGGCATCGCACGGTGTCACACACAACACTACCTGTTACAACACCCACACAGTGTTATCTGAAGGCACCGCACGGTGTCACACAGTAATATTTAAGGGCATCGCACGGTGTCACACACAACACTACCTGTTACAACACCCACACAGTGTTATCTGAAGGCACCGCACGGTGTCACACAGAAATATTTGAGGGCATCGCACGGTGTCACACACAACACTACCTGTTACAACACCCATACAGTGTTATCTGAGGGCACCGCACGGTGCCACACAGAAATATTTGAGGGCATCGCACGGTGTCACACACAACACTACCTGTTACAACACCCATACAGTGTTATCTGAGGGCACCGCACGGTGCCACACAGTAGTATTTGAGGGCATCGCACGGTGTCACACACAACACTACCTGTTACAACACCCACACAGTGTTATCTGAGGGCACCGCACGGTGTCACACAGAAATGTTTGAGGGCATCGCACGGTGTCACACACAACACTACCTGTTACAACACCCACACAGTGTATCGCAGGGCATCGCACGGTGTCACACACAACACTACCAGTAACAACATCCACTCAGTGTTATCTCACGGCATCGCACGGTGTCAGACATAACACTGTCTGTAACAACATCCACTCAGTGTTATATCAGGGCATCGCACGGTGTCACACACAGCACTACTTGTTACAACACCCACACAGTGTATCTCAGGGCATCGCACCGTGTCACACAAAACACTACCTGTACCAACACGCACACAGTGTTATCTGAGGGCACCGCACGGTGTCACACAGAAATGTTTGAGGGCATCGCACGGTGTCACACACAACACTACCTGTTACAACACCCACACAGTGTATCGCAGGGCATCGCACGGTGTCACACACAACACTACCAGTAACAACACCCACACAGTGTTATATCAGATCATCGCACGGTGTCACATACAACACTACCTGTTACAACACCCACACAGTGTATCTCAGGGCATCGCACTATGTCACACACAGCACTACCTGTTACAACACCCACACAGTGTATCCCAGGTCATCGCACGGTGTCGCACACAACACTACATGTAACAATACCCACACAGAGTATCTCAGGGCATCGCACGGTGTCACACACAACAGTATGCGTAAAAACACCCACCCACATAGTATATCTCAGAGTATCGCACGGTGTCACACACAGCACTACCTGTAACAATACCCACACAGTGTTACCTCAGGGTATTGCACGGTGTCACACACAACACTACCTGTAACAACACAAACACAGTGTTATATCAGATCATCGCACGGGGTCACACACAACACTACCTGTAACAACACCCACACAGTGTTATCTCACGGCATCGCACGGTGTCACACACAGCACTATCTGTAACAACACCCACACACTGTATCTCAGGGCATCGCACGGTGTCACACACAACACTACCAGTAACAACACCCACACAGTGTTATCTCAGGGCATCGCACGGTGTCACACACAACACTACCAGTAACAACACCCACACAGTGTTATATCAGATCATCGCACGGCGTCACACACAACACTACCTGTAACAACACCCACACATTACTAACACTGTCTCACGGTGGTTAGGTCACCACTACTAACACTGTCTCACGGTGGTTAAGTCACCACTAGTAACACTGCCTCACGGTGGTTAGGTCACCAGTACTAACACTGTCTCACGGTGGTTAGCTCACCACTACTAACACTGTCTCACGGTGGTTAAGTCACCACTACTAACACTGTCTCACGGTGGTTAAGTCACCACTACTAACACTGTCTCACGGTGGTTAAGTCACCAATACTAACACTGCCTCACGGTGGTTAAGTCATCATTACTAACACTGTCTCACGGTGGTTAAGTCACCAGTACTAACACTGTCTCACAGTGGTTAAGTCACCAGTACTAACACTGCCTCACGGTGGTTAAGTCACCACTACTAACACTGTCTCACGGAGGTTAAGTCACCACGACTAACACTGTCTCACGGTGGTTAAGTCACTACTACTAATACTGTCTCACGGTGGTTAAGTCACCAGTACTAACACTGCCTCACGGTGGTTAAGTCACCACTACTAACACTGTCTCACGGTGGTTAAGTCACCAGTACTAACACTGTCTCACAGTGGTTAAGTCACCAGTACTAACACTGCCTCACGGTGGTTAAGTCACCACTACTAACACTGTTTCACGGTGGTTAAGTCACCACTACTAACACTGTCTCACGGTGGTTAAGTCACCACTACTAACACTGTCTCACGGTGGTTAAGTCACCAATACTAACACTGCCTCACGGTGGTTAAGTCATCATTACTAACACTGCCTCACGGTGGTTAGGTCACCAGTACTAACACTGCCTCACGGTGGTTAGGTCACCAGTACTAACACTGTCTCACGGTGGTTAGGTCACCAGTACTAACACTGCCTCACGGTGGTTAAGTCATCATTACTAACACTGCCTCACGGTGGTTAGGTCACCAGTACTAACACTGTCTCACGGTGGTTAGGTCACCAGTACTAACACTGCCTCACGGTGGTTAAGTCACCAGTACTAACACTGCCTCACGGTGGTTAAGTCACCACTATTAACACTGTCTCACGATGGTTAAGTCACCACTACTAACACTGCCTCACGGTGGTTAAGTCACCACTACTAACACTGTCTCACGTAGGTTAAGTCACCAGTACTAACACTGCCTCACTTAGGTTAAGTCACCACTACTAACACTGTCTCACGGAGGTTAAGTCACCAATACTAACACTGTCTCACGGTGGTTAAGTCACCACTACTAACACTGCCTCACGGTGGTTAAGTCACCACTACTAGCACTGTCTCACGGTGGTTAGGTCACCAGTACTAACACTGCCTCACGGTGGTTAAGTCACCATTACTAACACTGTCTCACGGAGGTTAAGTCACCACTACTAACACTGTCTCACGGTGGTTAAGTCACCATTACTAACACTGTCTCACGGTGGTTAAGTCACCAGTACTAGCGCTGTCTCGGTGGTTAAGTCACCATTACTAACACTGTCTCACGGTGGTTAAGTCACCAGTACTAACGCTGTCTCGGTGGTTAAGTCACCACTACTAACACTGTCTCACGGTGGTTAAGTCACCATTACTAACACTGTCTCACGGTGGTTAAGTCACCATTACTAACACTGTCTCACGGTGGTTAAGTCACCAGTACTAGCGCTGTCTCGGTGGTTAAGTCACCATTACTAACACTGTCTCACGGTGGTTAAGTCACCAGTACTAACGCTGTCTCGGTGGTTAAGTCACCACTACTAACACTGTCTCACGGTTGTTGAGTCACCAGTACTAGCGCTGTCTCGGTGGTTAAGTCACCATTACTAACACTGTCTCACGGTGGTTAAGTCACCAGTACTAACGCTGTCTCGGTGGTTAAGTCACCACTACTAACACTGTCTCACGGTGGTTAAGTCACCAGTACTAGCGCTGTCTCGGTGGTTAAGTCACCATTACTAACACTGTCTCACGGTGGTTAAGTCACCAGTACTAACGCTGTCTCGGTGGTTAAGTCACCATTACTAACACTGTCTCACGGTGGTTAAGTCACCACTACTAACACTGTCTCACGGTGGTTAAGTCACCACTACTAACACTGTCTCACGGTGGTTAAGTCACCAGTACTAACACTGTCTCACGGTGGTTAAGTCACCACTACTAACACTGTCTCACGGTGGTTAAGTCACCAGTACTAACACTGTCTCACGGTGGTTAAGTCACCACTACTAACACTGTCTCACGGTGGTTAAGTCACCAGTACTAACACTGTCTCACGGAGGTTAAGTCACCACTACTAACACTGTCTCACGGTGGTTAAGTCACCAGTACTAACACTGTCTCACGGTGGTTAAGTCACCACTACTAACACTGTCTCACGGTGGTTAAGTCACCACTACTAACACTGTCTTACGGAGGTTAAGTCACCACTACTAACACTGTCTCACGGTGGTTAAGTCACCACTACTAACACTGTCTTACGGAGGTTAAGTCACCACTACTACATCTGTCTCACTGTGGTTAAGTCACCACTACTAACACTGTCTCACGGTGGTTAAGTCACCACTACTAACACTGTCTTACGGAGGTTAAGTCACCACTACTAACACTGTCTTACGGAGGTTAAGTCACCACTACTAACACTGTCTCACGGTGGTTAAGTCACCAGTACTAACACTGTCTCACGGTGGTTAAGTCACCACTACTAGCACTGTCTCACGGTGGTTAAGTCACCACTACTAACACTGTCTTACGGAGGTTAAGTCACCACTACTAACACTGTCTCACGGTGGTTAAGTCACCACTACTAACACTGTCTCACGGTGGTTAAGTCACCACTACTAACACTGTCTCACGGTGGTTAAGTCACCACTACTAACACTGTCTCACGGTGGTTAAGTCACCACTACTAACACTGTCTCTCGGTGGTTAAGTCACCACTACTAACACTGTCTCACGGTGGTTAAGTCACCACTAGTAACACTGTCTCACGGTGGTTAAGTCACCACTACTAACACTGTCTCTCGGTGGTTAAGTCACCACTAGTAACACTGTCTCACGGTGGTTAAGTCACCACTACTAACACTGTCTCACGGTGGTTAAGTCACCACTAGTAACACTGTCTCACGGAGGTTAAGTCACCACTACTAACACTGTCTCTCGGTGGTTAAGTCATCAATACTAACACTGTCTCACGGTGGTTAAGTCACCACTACTAACACTGTCTCACGGAGGTTAAGTCACCACTACTAACACTGTCTCACGGTGGTTAAGTCACCACTACTAACACTGTCCCTCGTTGGTTAAGTCACCACTACTAACACTGTCTCATGGAGGTTAAGTCATCATTACTAACACTGCCTCACTGTGGTTAAGTCACCACTACTAACACTGCCTCACGGTGGTTAAGTCACCACTACTAACACTGTCTCACTGTGGTTAAGTCACCAGTACTAACACTGCCTCACGGAGGTTAAGTCATCATTACGAACACTGTCTCACGGTGGTTAAGTCACCACTACTAACATTGTCTCACGGTGGTTAAGTCACCACTACTAACACTGCCTCACGGTGGTTAATTCACCACTACTAACACTGTCTCACGGAGGTTAAGTCACCACTACTAACACTGTCTCACGGTGGTTAAGTCACCACTACTAACACTGTCTCACGGTCGTTAAGTCACCACTACTAACACTGTCTCACGGAGGTTAAGTCACCACTACTAACACTGTCTCACGGAGGTTAAGTCACCACTACTAACACTGTCTCACGGAGGTTAAGTCACCGCTACTAACACTGTCTCACGGTGGTTAAGTCACCACTACTAACACGGTCTCACGGTTGTTAAGTCACCACTACTAACACTGTCTCACGGTGGTTAAGTCACCACTACTAACACTGTCTCACGGTTGTTAAGTCACCACTACTAACACTGTCTCACGGTGGTTAAGTCACCACTACTAACACTGTCTCACGGAGGTTAAGTCACCACTACTAACACTGTCTCACGGTGGTTAAGTCACCACTACTAACACGGTCTCACGGTTGTTAAGTCACCACTACTAACACTGTCTCACGGTGGTTAAGTCACCACTACTAACACTGTCTTACGGAGGTTAAGTCACCAGTACTAACACTGTCTCACGGTGGTTAAGTCACCGCTACTAACACTGTCTCACGGAGGTTAAGTCACCAGTACTAACACTGTCTCTCGGTGGTTAAGTCACCAGTACTAACACTGTCTCTCGGTGGTTAAGTCACCACTACTAACACTGCCTCACGGTGGTTAAGTCACCACTACTAACACTGTCTCACGGTGGTTAAGTCACCACTACTAACACTGTCTCACGGTGGTTAAGTCACCACTACTAACACTGTCTCACGGTGGTTAAGTCACCAGTACTAACACTGTCTCACGGTGGTTAAGTCACCACTACTAACACTGTCTCACGGTGGTTAAGTCACCACTACTAACACTGTCTCACGGTGGTTAAGTCACCAGTACTAACACTGCCTCACGGTGGTTAAGTCACCACTACTAACACTGTCTCACGGTGGTTAAGTCACCAGTACTAACACTGTCTCACGGTGGTTAAGTCACCACTACTAACACTGTCTCACGGTGGTTAAGTCACCACTACTAGCACTGTCTCACGGAGGTTAAGTCACCACTACTAACACTGTCTCACGGTGGTTAAGTCACCACTACTAACACTGTCTCACGGTGGTTAAGTCACCACTACTAACACTGTCTCACGGAGGTTAAGTCACCACTACTAGCACTGTCTCACGGTGGTTAAGTCACCACTACTAACACTGTCTCACGGTGGTTAAGTCACCACTACTAACACTGTCTCACGGTGGTTAAGTCACCACTACTAACACTGTCTCACGGTGGTTAAGTCACCACTACTAACACTGTCCCCACGGAGGTTAAGTCACCACTACTAGCACTGTCTCACGGTGGTTAAGTCACCACTACTAGCACTGTCTCACGGTGGTTAAGTCACCACTACTAACACTGTCTCACGGTGGTTAAGTCACCACTACTAACACTGTCTCACGGTGGTTAGGTCACCACTACTAACACTGTCTCACGGTGGTTAAGTGTGTGTGTGTGTGTGTGTGTGTGTGTGTGTGTGTGTGTGTGTGTGTGTGTGTGTGTGTGTGTGTGTGTGTGTGTGTGTGTGTGTGTTTGTGTGTGTGTAATATAATGTACATTTACATACACTGGTACGAGTAAACACCCGTAATGTATACATTCTCAATACTTTACATACGGAAATACAGACATGCACACAATACATATATACATATGCATACATATACACAAATGCTGTACGTACACGAATACATGCGTCCCTCCAAGCACACACGCACATACATACAAGTCCACTTTCATACATACATTTTTCTGTTTTGAATTATCACCACTCTGCACTATTCCTTTTGCCTGACCAGGGGTAGAGAGGGCTGGGCTTATGAGCCACAGAGATAACTTTCAACGGATAACCAAGTTATGATATGATTTTTAGTTTCTGAAGATGGACGTAGATACGTCAGAGATATACTTGATATCCCAGCAGTGAATATTCACTGTATATATTCACTGTATATATGCATTTTAGATAGATACTTTTTTTTAAGTAGCTACGTACCGTGGTTGCAAGTGCAGGTGTTGCATGGGTCTGGCGTGGGCACGCTGTGGGTATGGGCATACACTTTCTGGTGGTAGAGGCAGGCGTGGCACCCAGGGCAGCAGGAGGTGGGTGGTGCTGGCACTGGGTGAGTGCAGTTCACCTGCGGAAGATAGATCACACCTGAGTTACACTAGGTTACACCTGAGTCACACTAGGTCACACCTGAATCACACTAGGTCACATCTGGGTCACGCGTGTGTCACTGTTTCACACTGTTACAATTGATCACATGTAGGTCACATCTAGGTCACACTGAATCACACCTGGCTCACGCCTGCGTCACTAGGTCACACTGTTACAATAAGTCACTCATGGGCCACACTTTGGTCACGCTGGGTCACTGTTACATTTAGTCACTTTTGGATTATGCTAGGTCACACGTGGATCAAATCTTGGTCACACACAGGTCACACTTATGCCACACCTTGGTCACACATGAGTCACACCTGGGCCACACGTGGGTTACACCTGGGCCACATCTGGGTCACATGTGGGTCACACATGGATCACACCTGGGCCACACGTGGGCCACACCTGGGTCACACCTGGACCACACGTGGGTCACACGTGGACAACACCTGGGTCACACGTGGGCCACACGCAGGTCACACCTGGGTCACACCTGGGTCACACCTGAACCACACCTGAACCACACGTGGGTCACAACTGGGTCACACCTGGGTCACACCTGGGTCACACCTGGGTCACACCTGAACCACACGTGGGTCACAACTGGGTCACAACTGGGTCACATACTGGGTAACTTCTAAATTATTTTGTAAACTTTCTGACCTGACACTGTGTCCGTTGGCACCTGATGTGGCCCTTGTGACAGTGGCACTGCTGGCAGGGGTCACGAGGGGGCGTCCAGGTGGCACCCTCCTCCCAGGCACCACCATCCTCATCCTGGCACTCTGAAAATAAGAAGCATTCTAGGCACTCAGAGTTTCCTCGTGACAGATGTTGATCAAGCAGGCTGTGGTGCGTCAGAATGCGTGCTGATAGCACAGGCAGGTCAACAGACCCTCAACAGGTAGTTAAATAAAGGAAACAGCACTTGACTATCTGCAGACAGGTCCAGGGAGAATTCACTGCCAGTGGTCAAACATTTCACTGTTTATCAGGTCTCTGCAGTGATTTTTCACGTTACTTGTGTTTTTGGCTGATTGTGAAGGAAGAGACTTAATGTATTGATGTTTTGTTGACAAACTGTCAAGAGGCTGTATTATAAGTTACACAATACACAGTGTCAAGACGAGGCACGTCACGGACCGTGCTGCGGGGGCGTTGACCCCCGGAACACCCGAGAATACCCCAGAACACCACAGAACACCCCGGAACACCCCGGAACACCCCGGAACACCCGAGAACACCCCAGAACACCACAGAACACCCCGGAACACCCTGGAACACCCCGGAACACCCGAGAATACCCCAGAACACCACAGAACACCCCAGAACGCCCCGGAACACCCCGGAACACCCTGGAACACCCCGGAACACCCCGGAACACCCTGGAACACCCCGGAACACCCCGGAACACCCTGGAACACCCTGGAACAGCTTGATTTTAGAAATGATGCTTACTAGAACAGGGAAACAGGCAGAGTACACACACACACACACACACACACACACACACATACACACACACACACACACACACACACACACACACACACACACACACACACACACATACACACACACACACACACATACACACACACACACACACACACACACACACACACACACACACACACACACACACAAACACACACACACACACACACACACAAACACACACAAAACACACACACACACACACACACACACACACACACACACACACACACACAAACACACACAAACACACACAAACACAGGTACTCACCAGTACAGCTAGGACAGCAGGCACCCACAGGAAGGTGTTGAGCAACACAGGTCAACTTGGGACAGACGAGTCTTGGCACACACATGACCTGACCCTCCAGGCACTGGCACTGTACACATGGGTCACCATCACGGTTGAACCATGTCTGTGAATGTGGCATTTGGTCAGTATTCTAGCATCACACACACACACACACACACACACACACACACACACACACACACACACACACACACACACACACACACATGGTGGTAATTGCAGTGATGTATAACCCACCACAGAACAGCAGGAGGCCAAGGCAAGAGTATGATGAGAGCAATAGAGCGATGGTTGACACTGGCTGCAGTGGCCAGAAGAGCTCATGCATGCAGGGCAAAGCTACTGATCATGGGTGACTTTAACCACAAGGAGATCGACTGGGAGAACTTGGAGCCACATGGGGGCCAAGATACATGGAGGGCTAAGATGATGGAGGTGATACTGCAAAACTTCATGTACCAACACGTAAGGGACACTACAAGAGAGAGAGGAGAGGATGAACCAGCAAGACTGGACCTAGTATTCACCTTGAGTGGTGCAGATATTGAGGACATCACATATGAAAGACCCCTTGGGGCCAGCGATCATGTGGTTTTAAGCTTCGAATGCACAGTAGAGCTACAAGTGGAGGGGGAAGCAGGAAGGCCAGGACGAATGAAGCCAAACTACAAGAAAGGGGACTACACGGGAATGAGGAACTTCCTGAACGGGGTTCAGTGGGACAGAGAACTGGCAGGGAAGCCAGGTAATGAGATGATGGAATATGTAGCAACAATGTGCAAGGAGGCTGAGGAGAGGTTTGTACCCAAGGGTAACAGGAATAATGAAAAAACCAGATGAGCCCATGGTTCACCCAAAGGTGTAGGAAGGCAAAAACCAAGTGTGCTAGGGAATGGAAGAAATATAGAAGGCAAAGGACCCAGGAGAATAAGGAGAGCAGTCGTAGAGCCAGAAATGAATATGCACAGATAAGAAGGGAGGCGCAACGTCAATATGAAAACTACATAGCAGCGAAAGCCAAATCTGACCCGAAACTGTTATACAACCACATTAGGAGGAAAACAACAGTCAAGGACCAGGTAATCAGGCTAAGGAAGGAAGGAGGAGAGACAACAAGAAACGACCGTGAAGTATGTGAGGAACTCAACATGAAATTCAAAGAAGTGCTCACAGAGGAGACAGAAGGGACTCCAGAAAGACGGAGAGGTGGGGTACACCACCAAGTGCTGGACACAGTACACACAACCGAGGAAGAAGTGAAGAGGCTTCTGAGGGAGCTAGATACCTCAAAGGCAATGGGGCCGGATAACATTTCTCCGTGGGTCCTGAGAGAGGGAGCAGAGGCGCTATGTGTACCCCTAACAACAATATTCAATACTTCTATCGAAACAGAGAGATTGCCTAAGGCATGGAAGACAGCAAATGTAGTCCCAATTTTTAAAAAAGGAGACAGACATGAGGCACTAAACTACAGACCAGTGTCACTGACATGTATAGTATGCAAAGTCATGGAGAAGATTATCAGAAGAGTGATGGAACACCTAGAAAGGAATGATCTCATCAACAACAGCCAACATGGATTCAGGGACGGGAAATCCTGTGTCACAAACCTACTGGAATTCTATGACAGGGTGACAGTGTCGTATGGGGTTCTCAAGGAGATAACGAGGGTTGAAGGTAGACACACTTGTTGGATGGTAACGATATATATATTGTCAGACTGTAGTAAGGAAAGGATGAGCCCAGCCTGCCATGTCACTGCCTGGATGTCTATACGTCGACTGAGAGCGAGGCAGCTCGTCTCACTGCCTCAAGCTGTACCCCGTGACGTCATACAGTCACAGGCCTAAGGGATCTTCTATACAAACACATGGATGGTACTATGATACTCAACTA